TATGCATGAAGCTACTGACCCCTGGGCTCCACAGTCAGGGAGCAGAGTGATGGGTGATGCTGCTCAGCTTACTTTGTCCAGAACTGCAGCGTGGATGGTAGTGGCCCTCTTGTGTGTCTTCCCGCTGCAGGTAATCGTGATTCCTCACCCGCATGCCCAAAGGCTGTCTCCTAGGTGATTCTACGCTTTATTTAATTGACAGTATTAACCATCACAGTCTATATCCCCTCCTCACTAAACTTTATTTTAATGGCTCTTAAAATTCTCAGACACGTGTTTGGTCAAGTTGCTTCTATTAAAATGTACTACTTATAAAAATTAATAACTTGAAGGTCCATAAAACAAAACATTCTCCCTTCTGAGTGTGGGATTTTACTATGCCTTGTTATTAACCTAATACTGAACTTAAATGGCCAATTGAGACAAATAGTCCTGAGACCATCCATGCAGGTGTAATGATAAAACTCATTTAGTTTTTTGGGCATTCTGGGAAGACGTGGTGACTTTGAAACCTTCATCAGCCTCCTTCTCTTCCTTCCCTGTTACCTTGATAAACACAACATCTGATTCATAGGAGTAGCAAAATGAGCCAAAAGAGGAAGTCAGAGACACTCTCAAAACACAGTGCTTTCCTGGAACTATATTCACCGTGGCAGCTTCACCAGATGGGATAGTGAGGGTATCTTCTGACTTCCTGCTGGAAAGAAAGGTCATCAGTCTTCCTTGCAGCTTAGCAAATTAGCCTGCTGTGTAAGTCTGCGACCGTCTAGTTCAGGGGCATTGCCAGCTTTGATTTGGCCTGAATCATTCAGGATAATCACCTGAGCAGTGAAGCCAGCTGCGTCCATTGTGGGACATTTTTGCTGTCGCTACAGAGGAACATCTTGGACAGACATATTCTTGACATTGACACCTACCAGGAAGAGCCTCAGGTACAATTCCGTAGACTTTATATTTTAACTGTGACATTGACTAGAGCAAGGCTAACCACCAAACAGGTATAACACTCGTCTCCACTTGGCCCACGGCAGCAGTACCAATACCACCAATGTTATAGACAGCTAGGAGAGCGAGGCAGGCGCATAGGCTTGTCATTTGGGCAAATTGATGGTAGGAAACATCCCAAAGTGCACACATCTGTATGAGGGTGTTTGGTACCCTGGAACTGGAGTTAAAAACAGTTTTGACCTGCCATGTGGATACTGGGAATTGAACTTGGGTGGTCTGAAAGAACAGCCAGTGTGCTCTTAACTGCTGGCCATCTCTCCAGCTCTGGTCATTGCTGTCTTTATGAGTGACTTTGCATCCTTGACCCATGGCATGTTAGCACTTTTTACACAGATGCTGCCATGCCAGGTTCATCAACAGTTCTCTTTAAAACTTATTTTCATTGTTTTATGTGTAGAGGTGCTTTGCAACATATGTCAGTGTACCATATGTGTGCCTGTTGCCTACAGTGGCCAGAAGAGGGCATCACATTCCCTGGAACCGGAGTCGTGGATGGTTGTGAGCTAGCATTGGGTTCTAGGAACCAAACCTGGGTCCTTAACAACTGAGCCATCTCTCCAAGCCATCATAGCCAAGCTTCATTTTTTTTAATTTTATTTATTTTTATTTTATGCACATTGGTGTTTTGACATGGGTGTCAGATCCTCTACCACTGGAGTTACAAATGGTTGTGAGCCACTATGTGGGTGCTGGGAATTGAACTCAGGACCTCTGCAAGAGCAGTCAGTGCTCTTAACCACTGAGCCATCTTTCCAGCCCATAGCCAAGTTTATTAATGTAGGTACTGACTTCTTTATCATTTTTTTCATATCTCTTCTGACTGTAGGATGGCTCAATGGAATCCATTTTGTTAGTGGCAACAATTATTTCTTTTATACCAGCATTTAAACCAAAGGGCATGCTCATGAATTTGCCATTTTTGGAGAGCCAACTTCAAATTCAGCAATATCCACAGCAAATCATCTGCCGGCATGGTCAGCCCAGAAAGGCCTATAAAGGCTGTGTCATGGCGCATGGATATGATCCTTGCTGGGCTAAGTCCCAGGGATATGGTACTCATGATTCACTTTCAAGACCCAGGTAATCTTAAAGGAGCTCGTTCTGCTTGGTAGCACACCTCTCAGTTGTTTTAGTTTAGTTTAGTTTTTTCCTTTGTGTTGTCGACTTTCCAGTCTAGGCTTTGGGTTGGATTTTTCTACTTGTTTGTAGCCTCTTTCTGATGCATCAGAGACTAGAAATGCAGGTCAAACCACAGCAAGCTGCTGCTGTACTCATTAGGATTCCTCATGTGGAATTTTTGACTTTCAGTAGGATTTCATAATTGTCTTCATATAGAGTCTACTAATTTTGTTAATATTTTATAGTTTTGATCATGAAAGTATAATGTTATAATGAAAGGAAAAGCTAATGGCTTTGAATATTTTTATAGTGTCGTGTCATGGCACCAAAGACTCTTATTAGTTCTCATAGTTATTTTAGGAACACCAATACTTGTTCTGTTGGTCTAGTAGACTAGAATCTTTGGTATTTATCATATCATCAGCAAAAATAAATTTTTAATATTTTTCTTTCAGCATTAAATATGCTAATTCTTAGTTTATTTGCCAGTCATAGATAGGACTAGAAAAGGGAATGCCAGAATTTTAAAAAGCAAATCTACCACCAGAAATATCAGTTACTCTATATTTTGTATGTTATTGCCATTATTTTAATTAATCTTATGTAGTGCTGGAGAGTTAGCCAGGTAGCTGTCTTCATAATTGCTTTGTACATATTAACTACTAGAGAGGTAAAAATTAAAGCTCAGTGGATATATTTTGCTTTGTGCAAAGCCCATTAAAAACTTGATCTGACATAAAAACTTGAATTAACATAAAACATCAATCAGAGAGTGATTATCTGTTATGTCTAGGAAATTGTCAGCTGTTTGATTCCAGTGAAGGTGATTGCCTTTAACATGAAAATGTCTATGCTGTCATTAGAATATTTCATTTTAAACAATTTAGTTCATGAATAACTCTTAAAGTCTTTCACATTGATTAAATGAAATTATGCTATATTTAAAAGATAGGCATTAATAAGAAAAACAGAATTTTCTTAGAAATATTTGTGGAAGGAGCTGGCTGGCTCAGTCTGTGAAGCACTTGCCCTGAAAGCATGAGAGCTGGGATGGGTGCACACAAAAGCTAGCGTGAGGCTAGAGAGATGGCTGAGCGTCCAAGCTATTTGCTCTTGCAGAAGACCTGGGTTTGCTTCCCAGCATTCTTGCCTCTGGGTACCAGATATGCACATGGAGCGCTATATACATGCAGGCCACTGTGAATGCACATAAAATTAAAAAGAAAAAACTTTTTTCTTTTTTTTTTTTAGTGGGGGAAGTATGATGCCAAGGATGGTGGTATGCACTTGTAATCTCAATGTTGGGGCAATAGAAGGATCTCTTCTGACTTGTTGATCAGCGAAAGTAGCATAATTCTTCAAGCCAAAGGGAATCTTATGGGAGACTGACAGCATTCCCAAGGATGGAGACCTGAAGTGGTCCTCCAGCTTCCACACAGAGTATGTGCACCTGTGTAAACATGAACATATATGTATTAAAAATATTTTGGGAAGAACATGAACTATGAAGCCAAAAATTAGAAGTTGTTCTTTAGGTCTTTGTTGCTTCTTAGCTTCTAGATGACTCATTGAAGAAGTGCTGTGTGTGAGACCCTTTGGTGTATAGAGAACACAGGTACAGTGATGTCACCTGTGTAGATGACTCAGTGAAGTGCTGTATGTGAGAGCCATTGGCGCATAAAGGACAACACAGGCTACAGTGGTGTCACTTTTTAGAGATTTTTCTGCTCTTTTTACTGATTTGATTGAGGTGACATTTAGATTAAAAAAGAGGAATGTGGTCATTTGAAGAAAAATACAACAAAACAGAGCTGATTGATACCAGCCTTTTCTAGCCAGGAATTGCCCAGTACTTTAATTTAGTATTACTGTTTTTCCAGTGACATGTATTCATTGTACATGCTATTAGATTTTGTAAGAACTTTTTTTGTTTGTTTGGTTTGGTTTTTCAAGACAAAGTTCTCTGTGTAACCCATCTAGCTGTCCTGGAACTCCCTTTGTAAACCAGGCTGGCCTCAAACTCACAGAGATCCATCTGCCTCTGCTCCCAAGAGCTGGGATTACAGGCCTGTGCCGCCACCACCTGACTTTCATAAGGACATTTTTATAACTATATAAAATTATTATACTATATAATGTAGTTTTTGTCAGTTTGACACAGTCTAGAATTATCTGAGGAGGGAGTCTCAGTGAGAGGTTATCTAAATTAGATGTGGCTGTGGGCACTTATCTGGGTCACTGGAAGGCCAACCCACTGTGGGAGACACCAGTCTCTGGCTGGGGCCTCCTGGTGGTGTGAATGGAGAAGACAGGCTGAGCAGGGCTTTCATGCCTTGTTCATTGCTCTTGACTGTGTGTCATGTGACTCATGCTTCCCATTCCTGCCTCCTGACCTCCCCACAGGGACTGACTGTTACCTGGCACTGTGAGCCAAGTCAGCCCTTTCTCCCTTAAGTTACCTTTTTCACAGCAACAGGAAATGAAACTAAGACACCCTCCCTCTGTCACCCTTCCTCCTGTTACCCCGTTCTGGGCAAGATCACCTTTTCAATGAAAAGTATCATTGAGTCTGACCTTTTAGTGCTAGAAAAGGTAAGTGGGAATATTGTGAGCTGTGGGGGAGGGATGGACTGCATGGATGATGTTGATTGGTCCTTACTTGAAATACTCCATAGATCTGTTTGAACATAGCTCATTTTTACATTCTCTGTGGGTTTTGGCTTTAATATAAATACAAGCTTAATACCAGGCATGCTGTGAGGTTTACTGCTGTTTCTGAGTAACACTTAGGAATGCTGCTAACTGTAGTTTGTTGCTTGTTATTTTTCTAAGATAACTCTGACAGTTTAACTTTTGTCTCCATGTTTGTTTAGGTAATGTTTGTGAAGATTCACGTGCCAGTCATGGTCCAATGAATATAAGGGACTTGGAGTTGCAGCCCTGTCCTAGCTTTGTTCTTCCCGTAACACACACAACAGCAAAAGGCAATGATGCCGATTCAGGAGCAGCTGAAGACTTTTCTCAGGTACCAAAGCAACAGCGTTTGTGCTTTACTTAAAATGAGAATTGTAACTCTGTGAGTTCAAGGCAAACAAAAAAACCAGACTGAGTTCAGTCCCTAGAACATTTTTAGGGGGATAGCAGTGGCAGAAGGAGACAGGGTCTTACTATGTAATCTTGACTGGCATGCAGCTCCCTGTGAAGACCAGGCTGGCCGCAAACTCAGAGAAATCCTATCTCTGTCTGCCGACTGCCTCAACATGGTCACCATCTTCTAGAACATTCTTGAAGGAGGAAGGTGAGAACTAACTCCATAAGTGGTCCTTTGACCTGTACATGAATGCTGTGGCAGACACAGTCCCCTGCCCACACATATAAAATGTCTGACACCTAGTGAAGTTGCTGTTATCATTTATCTCTTTGTGACTGTATAAAACCCAGCTCAGTAACTTAAACGTATTGTTTGATGTTTATAGCTTTAAAATATATAAAGTATAATCCGTGAAAGCACAACAGTTTCATAATGAGTGAAACCAATTGCCCATGAAATCTTCTATATTAAAAAATTATGATGATTGTTCCTGAAGATCTTAATCTAAATAAAGGCTCATGGTAATAAATACGATTTTGTATTCATGATTAGCAATTCATTCCTCATTGTGAATTCATTTATTCAATCAGTATTCATTGCATGGTGTTTTACAATATTGCATGGTATCAAGGAAGAAAATTAAAAATATATTATAAAGATTGCTTATGGAATAAAACATATAGGGTTTGTTGTTGCTAATCTGTGTTCAAGCAAAGATCAGAAAAAAAGCTAATAAATATGCTAATAGTGTCTGTATCAAAGAAAATATTTTTTGATTAAGAGGCAAGAACTTGCTGGATGTGATAGCAAAAGCACTGCTTATAAAAAAGAGAATTAAAAAAAATTAGTTTACCAAAAGTAAGAACTTCTATTCCCCAAGAATAAGAATTTCTCCCCCAAATACAGTATTAAGAAAATAAAAACACAAGTGGTAGAGTGGGAGAAAGGCACATCCAGAGAATAAAAATGAACTAAAGAATTAAATAGTGAGCCGGGCGGTGGTGGCGCACGCCTTTAATCCCAGCACTCGGGAGGCAGAGGCAGGCGGATCTCTGTGAGTTTGAGACCAGCCTGGTCTACAAGAGCTAGTTCCAGGACAGGCTCCAAAACCACAGAGAAACCCTGTCTCGAAAAACAAAACAAAAACAAAAAAAAAAAAAGAATTAAATAGTGAACAGCGTAATTTAAAATGAACAAAAGATGTTCGAGCAGTAAATGAGCGTGCATCAGAGACTAGAAATGCAGGTCAAACCCCCACGTCCCGGGGCTGCCGTGCATTTGTTGGCAAGGACGTGGAGCAACTGAGCTCTAGTCCATTGCTGGCTGCGAACACAAAGTGATACAGACATAGAGCTAACACGCGACCTATGCATTTTACTTCCCTAGAGGATTTAGAACAGATGAGTGTCCATAGGAACTTTATATTTGTAGTAGCCCCAAATTGGAAGCAACACAGTGTTTCTCAAATGGTGACTGGACAAAGTGTGTTAGGTTCTGTATTCTAGAACACCACAACTCCCAGTGCACTGTGAGTGTAGGGACTCTTGAGATGGACAATACTTTACTTGATTTTTTTTTTGACAAAAATTATGTTGAGTAAAAGCTAGAGCCTTCTCCCCACAAAAATATATCCTTAATGATTCCACTTAATAAAACTCTAGCCAAATACAGGAATGAGCACTTGTAATCCTAGCACTCATGAGGCTGAGTCAGTGGATCACAGATTTGAGGCCTGTGTGGGCCACACAATGAGACCATGTCCCAAAGGAAGAGGGGAATTAAAAAAGAAAAAGAGAAAACCTAGAAATGCAGTCTACTCAGTAACAGAAAATATCTCAGGTGTTGACTTTGAATGGTGGGAGAGGATGGAGTGGCTGCCTCTGTTGAACGCACTGTCGCTGCATTTGCCACTCGGAACCACGCGTGCCATGGCCGCAGCATCTCTGCATTCGCTGAGGAGGATGCTTTCAGGAGGTGTGGACCTCTTCACACACTGGCTGTGCATTAAGTCAAATGACAAATCAGCTCTTTGAAAGCAAGCCAAATTATTAGATGTTTATATAATATAACCAATTTAACTCAACACATTTTTAACTTAAAAATAATATTATGGCTTTATTTCTTAAATTCTTTAGTATCAGCAAAAGCAAGACACAGACATTAAACAAGTGGAACACAAGCCAGTACAAAGACATCTAACCGGTATAAGAAATAAACCGGACAGTTCACTTTCACAGCGGCAAGGTAAGCTATTGTAACAAATAGTGATGCTTTATTTAATATTTATTAAATATATTTATCAGATCAAACTTGTCCTGAAAACAAACATATAAATATATAATGAAAATATTTTTATATGAATCTCACCCTTGTCTCTGGGAGTTATTTCTTTTATTTTCTCTCATTTAGTGTATTTAGATGGAGAACCTAGTACTTGACTGTGAGATTTGTAGCTTTTATATTTAACCAGCAGCCAGTATTCCTAAGTGGGTTTTAAAACTGTTAGGCACTGTTTTTCCTTTCAAAGTTCCTGCTATTCATATGCCCTGTTAAGGCCGTTAGTGTTACATAGTGATGTGGACCAGCTCTGGAGCTGGAAAACAAGTGGCTCTCACATTGCCGCTCTCTGAAGTTTCCCGTGCTCTTGCCGACAGTAAGGCATTTGGTGTTTTCTTTCTGGTTCTGCGAGGCTGTTGGTCTTAAGTTTCATGTCCCTGCCTGCTTGTTGTTCACGTTTCGAGTAACCTAGGTTCTGAAGTGTAGGTCACTCTGCACCTAAGTGAGAGGTGCCTAAGATTGCACTGCATGTAGTTTGGGCTTTCACACTTACGTCCCCCTCTGTTCTGTTGCTCCAGCCTCTCAGGACTTTCCTCCCTGATCACTTTCTTAAATCAGCATGCAAAGTAATAGGTTTCATTATGTATAGCATCTTCACACATACTGTCTTGTTTGTCTTTGGGCTTTTTAACCCCCTTCCCTACTCCCCTTTTCTCCATGTTGGTCTCCTTCCTCCTCTCTTCCTCCTCGCTATATGCCTTCATAGCAAATGCATTCTGTTATCTTCTTGTCTCTTTTCTACCTCCTCCTCTCCTATGAGACTTAATGTTCAGCGTCCTTAGACGTCAGGAAAACGCCAGTTATAACTACTTCTTGAGCTTCCGTCTCACTTCACAGAACAGTTACCGAGAAGCTGAGTAAGCAGCAGACTCTGGCAGGGATGTGAGGGAAGAGCCACCCTTACCTACCACTTGGAAATCTCACAAAACCAAATGTGCAACTGACTGTGTGGCTGAGCCGTACCATTTTTGTCCTTACACGAAAAGGACCCTGAAGCCCGCACATCAGGGAGACATTTCCACTCCACAGTGCAGCCAGATGGTCCAAAGAGTGCTAACTCTAGCACTGAGTGGCAGAGAGACAGGAGAATCCTGGGGACTCATTAGCAAGTCACCCTAGACAGCCCAGCCTCAGAAAATAAGGCAGAGGAGAGATTTAAGGAAAACATTCTGACCGTGTCAGTTTCTGGCCTTCTCCACAAATACACACCAGTTCACACCAACACACTCACTCCCTGTCCTACATACGCTACAGAGAAAAATGAAATCATGACATTTGCAGCAGAGTGGACGGAGCTGGAACTTATTAAAGGAAGTAACCCAGACACATACTCTATATTTTCTCCCATGTTGGGAGCTGTGAACCCCCAGATCCTGAATTTCTTGTAAACAACGTGTTATGCTTGCAGTTGCTCTGAGCAGGAGACTCTCAGGAGTTCCTGATAGCAGGGGAGTGGTTTCTGGTGCGTTTGGCTGGGGCATGGCTATCAGTTAAGGATCTTTATATAAGCGGCTCTGGTACACAATAAGGGGGGCATTCCTGTTTCAAGGATGACCTGTGTCTCTGTGAGTCTTTGTGTGTTTAAATCTCCAGGCCCTTGCCCAGGAATGGTCCTGTAGTGCAGACGCCGCAATACAGGAGGAGTACCGTACTGTCAGGCAGTACAGGCGAGCAGTACACTCACATAGATCACAATTTGATATATGTCTCAATTACTGTTGTATTGCTGTAAAAAGACACCATGACCAAGACAACTCACAGAAGAAAGCACTTAATTGGAGTTAGCCCGTTATCATGGCAGGAGGCTTGCAGCAGGAGAGCAGGCGTGGTTCTGGGGAAGGAACTGAGCGCTGCCTTCTGATCCACAGGCAGAGCCGAAGATGCTGGGCTGCCTGAGCTTTTGAAACCTCAGAGCTTACCCTAGTGACACACCTCCTCCAACAGGCCACACCTCCTTTAATAAGGCTACACCCCTAATCCTTTTTAAATAGTTCCACTAATAGGGGATCAAACATTTTAACCTTAGGGGCCTACAGGGACCATTCTCATTCAAACCACCACAGTGTGTGTGTGTGTGTGTGTGTGTGTGTATTTACATCTTGAATTTTCTTTTGTGTTATGAATGTTTTACCTACATGTAAGTCTGTGTATCATGTTTGTGCCTGGTGACCCCTTGAGCCCAGAAGAGGGCATCAGGGTGTTAATCCCCTGGAACTGGAGTTACAAATCATTGAGTTGCAGTATTGATATTAGGAATCAAACCCAGGTCTGCTGGAAGAAAGCAAGTCTCTTAACTACTGAGCTATCTCTCTAATCCCATTGAATATTTTTTTATGTACCACACTAGTGTTAAATTATATTTTAGAATCTAATGAAAAGTGACCAATTTTGGAAGATCATAAATTCAAAGCCAACCTGGGGTTACATGAAGAATTTAAGGTTTGTTTAAGCCATATAGCAGGATCCTGTCTCAAAACACAACAACAAAAATGTTGCTAATAAAACCCTTCTGATGATGATTTTTAAATTATGGCAATTTATAGATATGAGCAAATAAACATTCCTAAGATAGTAAGACTGACTCAGAGCCCTATTGCATATTGTAATCATTTGTGGTCAATATAATGCAGCAAGTTTGTTTATTTTTTTAATTTTTAATGTCTTAAAATTGAAAATTTTGTTTTCTTGATGGATCGTATCTATAACAAGCAATCATTTCCATAGGGAAATGTCTTTGGTAAGATTTTGGGCCTACATCCCAGGTAATGTGACATTGTTTTCAACTACAATGTATGTGTGTGACCAGAGGATAGCAGTAGTTATATTTTTGTTGACTTATGGCTATGTTATTCAGTAATAACTAGCTGACATTTAATAAGTCAATAAATTTCACTATGAAAACAAGAGAAACCAAAATATTTGCTAATAGGAAACTGTTGTTTTACAATATGTTTTCACTTTATATCCCTGGCTGGCCTGGAGGTCTCTATGTAGACCAGGCTGGCTTTGAACTAGTGGAGATGCACCTGTGTCTATCTTCTGAGTGCTGGGATTAAAGGAGTCTGCCACCATGCCCAGGCCAGGAGGAAGTTCTACTTAGAAGTTAACGATGGTGAGCTTAGTGTTTTTGCATCAAACTTTATATCTAATAAGAAAAGATAGCCAGACGCAGTGGTGCATGCCTTTAATTCCAGTATTCAGGAGGTAGAGACAGGGAGATCTCTGTGAGTTTGAGGCCAGCCTGGTCTACATAGTGACTTCTAAGACATTCAGAGATACATAGTAGGACCCTGTCTTGGAAGAAAAAAAAAAAGAAGGAAAGACAAGGTTAGGTAAATAGGTCTGTTTGAACTTTGACAAGACCCAGTAGGCTTTAAATAAGTCATTTCCATAGATAAAAGTATCACTCCACAGTTGATATCTATCTCTGTACAGAGTATTCTTGAGTGAACATCATTGTCTTGGCACATAGTCAGAACCTTTTCCCATAAAATGTGTGCACTTGGTTTATTTTTCCCCTCTTCTAAAATTTTAAAACATTTCCAGACATTTCAGAGAATAGGAGAGGCAAAGGGCCAAAATATTCCCTGGGGCCCTTACAACCTTGTGACCTTAAAGGAATTCAGTCCTATCTCTTGTGCACAGAAGTCTTGAAGACAAGGAATTTGCTCCATCACAAGGGAATCAAAACTACATCTTTTCTGGCAGTAAATGTTTCTTAGATTACTCAAATCCTAATTATGGCTATTTTACAGAGGAGTTACCATGTGTTTTACTTTGAAATGCATAGTAGTTTAGTGTGTGTGTGTATAAAGAAATGAGGCAGATTACTAGAAATACCATCTCCTTCAGTGAGCTGGCTCCCACTGAAAATAGATGCAAAACATGGCGGGACATATGTGCTTGACTGCATAGCTGAAGAATTGCTAAGAGCTTGTTTTATTTCCAGGTTTTAACATAAAATAAACCACATTCATGATTTGACAGGTGATATCTTTGGAGTAAATATAATAAGATCCTTTCAGGCCAGGTGTGGTGGCAGATGCCTTTAGTCCTAGCGTTTAGTGGACTGACGCAAGAGGTTAATTTGGGCTAGTCTCAAAACACAAGGAATAACAAATCAATAATAATGATTAGATCTTTTCTTTTGTTGCTGAATTTATTGGTTTGTTCTTTGACTCCAGGATTTAAGCTGCATTCTTGAATCAGTTTACTAGTCATGTGTCCAGCACTTTTTCATGAAAGCAACTTCTTCAAAAGGTGGATTTTTGTTTCTGTTTTTTACCCCTTTTCTCTGTCTTAGTCAGTTTTCTCTTGCCTTGATGAGACACCATGAACAAGGTTTTTCTTATAAAAAAAAAAAAAAAAAAAACCATACCAGGCAGTGGTGGTGCACACCTTTAATCCTAGCACTCAGGAGGCAGAGGCAGGTGATCTCTGAGTTCGAGGCCAGCCTGGTCTGCAGAGCAAGTTCTAGGACAGCCTGGGATACACATAGAGAAGTGCTGCTGTCCTGTGGGTGCGGATGGAGAGAGAGAGAGAGAGAGAGAGAGAGAGAGAGAGAGAGAGAGAGAATTGGGGAGTTGCTTGTAAGTTCGAGGGTTAGTCCATTATCATTATAGCAGGCATGAAGGCTGGTGCTGGAGAAGTAGCTGAGAGCTACATCCTGATCCATAGGCAGCAGGCAAAAAGAGACCTTGGGCCAGGTATGGACTTTTAAAACTTCCAAGTCTACTCCAGTGACATATTCCTCCTAATCCTTCTCAATTAGTGCTACTCCCTGGTGACTAAGCATTCAGCTATATGAGTCTATGGGAGTTGTTCTTTTTCAAACGACCACACACTATAAGTTTACTTTGACCATTTTTTTTTTCTGTTTAGGTTAACTAATATAAACTAGGTCAAAC